GTTATGAAACAGTTATATATAATCATGATGTTTTCCATAGATGTCTTGCAGCCAGMATTATGCATCCAAACTAGACTGAGAAATAGGTATATCTACATTTAAGAAATAAGAAACCCGAGAACTCTAAGAACTAGAGGAAGCATTGATCGCTATTATGTTGTGTTATTTCTGCACTGATTCATCGATTCTGTTGTCGAGTCGCTCGGTCCCACCCCTACGYGACCAGAGCAAAGCAGTTTACGGATATATTGAAGATATATAGAGGATCGAAGATAAAATTCGTATCTCCAAGCGACCATATAATATTCTGTTTATCATATAATTACATATGGAAGCAAATTATGTCGTAAAATGCCTATTTTTCTTACTTCCAATATAGGGAGAAACCTCGAATGTGTTATGATTTTCACTAGTGAAAATAACATGTTATTTTCACTAGTGAAAATATCAATTTTACGAAATGGAGAAATATATAGGTATTTCATAGATAATTATGTGATAAAAACCTATATTATCAGAAAAAGGAGCGTATCACTTTCAAAATACATGATTCATAGTGACTTTTGGTTTTATTGCAACTACATTGTTACTGAGGTGTACCAGAGTGTCAGCAATCTTGTCGCGTGCTTCAAAAGTTATCTTCTTGAGTTCCTTGTTCAATGGGTAAATTGTTCTGAACTCTCCTTAGCATATTGCACTGGATTCAGCACATGTGACATAAACGTTTGAAATAGATTTAGTGTACACCTTGTTCCTTTAGTTGTTTACTCACGGGCGTTCGATAACTGCTAATGTTTTGGTTAATATTAATTCAATCGGTATCGGAATAACATATCAGTAAAAATATTTAGCAAATTCTACTTCAAAGAAAGATTTTTACCGGATTTCAGTACCGGAAATTATCCGTAATGCACCCGATAGTGTATCCATAGATATTGATGAAATTTACAGATTTTTTGCAAAACGCTGTCATAGCCGCAAAGTATGAATAGATGTTGGTTAATCAATAACATCGACAAATGGATGGATGAAATGAAAAAARGAACACAAATATAARCTATAAAAACGCACAGAAAATCGACCTCAAACGAAAACAAAAAAGAATTACTCATGGATCCCATAATTTAAGCATGCACAATATTTCTTCATACATTAAAAATMTTTCRAAGCTTGCCTGTATCAATTCTGCTCAAGATCAATATGTATCTTTCTGTGCTCAAGGGATATTATATCTGAGTCCCTATTGTGCTCGAAAATCACTTTTGAATTCTAATCGCGTCTCCGCTTTGCGCGCCGGTTTGCCGAGATCAATTCAACTACAACTCTATCAGACATAATCTAGACAAACAAGTCTAAAAAGTCCCCGGTTATTGATTGAAAACACAAAGACGCGAGAGACCGATGTTGCTTTGAGTTGTTGAAAGGCTAGACACGAACAATTTGGACGTAAAACTCTCCGTAAAAATAGAGCACTATAGTTCACCGACCAAAACCAGAAAAGAGAATATTGATATGAATAATATCACCCCGTTGAATAAAATTCACGCAATATTTTTCAAGAGAGTGCCTTCCATATTAAAATCCGTGAATTTCTATTCAATATCAGCGTGGACGTTGCTGTCATGTTCTTTTTTTCATGCACAAATTTTGCTTTGGATTTATTGCACGCTCTCCCCTCCCCAAATCCCCATCCGAATGGTCGAGGACCCCTAAGCGAAAAGTCGATCCCTGTTTAACTAAATATGGACAGCTGCTTGTTTTCGAGTTTTCTGTCACAGACGTTTTTCTYAAAATCATGATCWTGATAGAGTTTTCGATAATTAAGTTATTTTCGCGAGYCGTCCTTTATTTTTAAATCTATTCTCAAGCAATAAAAGTCTTTCATGTCTTTTATGAGGTTTATATAGCTAGATGGTGATTCATAATCCACTTGTAATATATTATTTAAGTTATTTTTACGTTAAAACTCGGTTTATTTTTAAGACTAAGTTTAGGCACTCCTACCTCCATCTGGGCTCAGATCGGCCGATAAATTACGCTAATCTTTAAAGCAGAAATGCTAATTCAAAATCACCATCTTATGAAAACGCTGTAAACTCGCATCTATGTTTTATAGAAAATACAATAAAATAGCACAAATATTTATTCCATTCTTGGTCTTCATTGATCATATTTTAAAGTCTTTTTTTTCCCTTTAATTGTAAAAACGGCGACTGGTTTCACAAAAGAACTGGAAGTATTTTGGTATGTATATGTGCGGGTTGGGGCTTTATTAAGATATCGAAAACTTAAGTCAAAACAACAGCGATTTTTTTACCGCTCTTGGCTTTCTCAAAAGCAAAATCTAAAGCGATATGAGGATCTCAGTACTTAATACTGGAGTATTATGAAACAYAGTCTCAAATATAAGCACCAAACAAAATATGGCCACGCAAAAAGGACTTCGTGTCAATTATCACGTCAGGTAACCAACAAACACTCCTGAAAGATAAAAAATCAAGATGTATTTTTGGTTTTCTGTATTGGTGATATTATCAAAGTGTGCGAAATTGGAGTTTTGTTTTATTCCCGGTTTATTTCCATGCAACGAGTTTCTTTTTTCCCCTGACTATGATATAGAATAAAAATCTTTGGTTTTCGGTCGCTTTTTAGTCGTAAAAATTTGTACATTTTTTCCGGTGTTTGTGTATTATGTCTTGCAAAATACACTTGTTGACGACACGTGAAACAGTTATGAAACAGTTATGAAACAGTTATATAAAACGGCATATCATTGGTTCAAAACAAATACAAAACAACAACAACAAAAAAGGACAAGAACTGAGTAAAATCGAAAGAAAAAAAGAAAACGGAACAGGAAAACAAATTTTTATCCTCAGTGAAACATGCGCAAATTGTCCTCTAACACCTTGTTATTGTTTGTTTTTCTTTTTCTTTTTCTTTTTTTTTTTGCGTCGTATCATTATAGAAATGGTCAATTTTTCTAATGATTTTCTCAGAGAATAATCATGATGAAAAATTCATGAGTTTTTTGCATGCGATATTTCGGAGTTCAATTAAGATTACTTAGCTTAAGTTCAAGTCAATTTTATAACCCATTTCTGTAGCCATTAGGTAAAACTTTCACTTCCGCTAAAAGATGATGTGAATTAYATAATGACCAACTACTCGAGTAGTTATTGCCACGTATGCAGCACATTCAACCAATCAGYGACCATATTCACAGGAAAGAACAATTGAAGTGTCCTCCCATTCTAGAAGATTATTCCAAGCACGTATAGAAAAATAAATTTTATCGGAAGCCAACTGTATCACTCTTGTTAGAAAGAAGTCGTCAGTTTTGTGTTGTGTTTGTGTGTGACATTTTGGCGAGACGACTGCATTACTCTTCGAAGGTTATTTGGGCAGTATTTTTTAGTTGAAATCACGCCTAGACTTCAAGGCYGTCATTCTGGAAAACAACACTGTTTTGACGAAGTCAGAAGTTTATTTTCAATATCGTAAGTGTCAAGTTGTATGCGTCACTGACAGCGAACCAAAATTATATCTCGATTTCAAAAAAGCTGTTCATMTGCTTTGGTCGATTTTCTTCTCGCATTTTCTACTGTCGGAAAATGCAAAACATGAATTAGATAATAATTGACCAAGACAGTTTTATATTTCGCGTCAAGCAATTGGATGAGAGAGGCCGTCTGCTGGGAAAAGATAACCTGAGCTTGTGGAGGAAGTTTAGTTTCGTGAAAGATCAGAGAGCGGGCTTCGACCAGGTGAAATGATGATTTGCTAATGTTTTTGGTCTTAGCTTACCTTTCTTCTTCATTAATCTTCATTAATTTAGTCGTAGAAATGTCATTTGTTTAATATTCATTCTCTCATTCAATTCTCTTTTCTCTTACGCATTTATTCATTTATTTATTACTACTATCAACTTTCAACTTTCAAAATTTTCATTTTGACGTTTTGACTATTCTACCTTCCTTGGCAAAGTCATTTTGTATTTTTTTCGCCCATGTATAAATTAATTCATTCATGAACAGTTGACTTCTCCTCTATCACTGTACAGGTGCAAACCCTCGCAAAAACAGTTTCTCTTTAGTTTTTACCTCATATTTAATTCCTGATTGCAAATTGTATATTTGATAATTTCGGCAAATTTAAGGATTTTTTTAATCAGTCTAATCGGTTATTGTTTTAATTTTCTTTGATGAATTATATAAAACGGCAATTGTATTAATATTTAAATAATATAAAGAAAAGGTAAGGATAAAAAATGTGAAAAAAAAGAAAAGAGAAGAAAATATTCTAGAGACAATAACATGAAAATTACTTCTTGTACACTGCAGTATGMGTCACTCTGAATTACGTATACCAGAACTACCACAGCTATAGAAAAGAATCTCTTCCGCAACCGACGGTTTGATACAATAAAATTGATGGAGAAGCAGCCTTYTAAGCCGTGTCGATCATACTTTTATTGAACAATACATAGAGAGATTTCCCGGTCATCGGTTTTAGCTCCACTTAAATCAAACAAATGAGTCTATTAAGTACTCTTCTGCTCACCGGCCGAACAAAAGGCTCAAAATTRTATAAAGAGCACTTTAGATTCAAATAAAACTGATGTTGAATAACTTAATTTATCACGAGATGTTTTCCTTTTGAATAAATGAYTATAAAGCCCCAGGCGATAACGGCATGATATGTTTTTTGGCAGTTTTATGTTAGAAAGGAAGAATTAGAAAAGTTCCAAGCGGGATGTCGCGATTCCATCAGCGAGTTTCATAATTAGTCCACTGAAGTCCTTAGTTAACGTGCATGTCTGTTTGACTGAACGCGAAAACCGCTGCTTTGAGAATCAGGTTTTCAGCTCGAAAATAAGACTTCTCAGTTTGTTTAGTAATAGTGTTTTYTGGTACATATTCGCGACGTGATTTCCGATTAATGTAGTAAAATCTGATACTCAAGCGTGATCAATATCTATATAGTATCCCAATTCGTCTGCAAAAAAAAAAAAAAAATCATCATTCTAACAGCTGTCGATCGTCTTCCATATTTGGTATAATTACTTACACTTGGTCTGTTTTTCYCGACCTTTTAACGCTTTCGATTAAATACCGAATACAAACAATCAAAGCAAGTTGTTGACAATTTGGCAAAAACTTCTTTCCAAGGGCAGAAGCCACAGGGAACCCGCTTGAACGACAGATTGGGAACACTAGAACCACTTAGGCGCTTAGATAAATATCAAATTTAAGGATTCAATGACTAATYCGCAACTAGAATGCACTAATGTTGTTTCCTCCTTTTGTGTTCGCTTTTCTTCTTCTAAAATCTAAAATCACGGYGGGAGGGGGGAGGGGGAACCCGAGGGTGGAAGGCCAGGGGGCTATGTTTTGCATCTGTGTCTAAAATCAATGAGATCACGTATTCACTCTTGAAGCAATCAATGATATTGCAGGTTATCTGATATTCTTAATAGCGGTTGCTTTAGGTTGCCAGCAGYTTAAACTGTTTTAAAAGCCAATATTTACAAGATAAACTGACTCTGTCGAATTCTTCAGATCACAATCAAAATAAATGTGTTCTAGACAAGCAGTTCCGCTGTTCCATAAAATTACAATACTTTAAGAGCGATTGATATCTCGCTAGGACGTGAGTAAAAACTGTCCGTTTTAAACTCATCAAATGACGGTCACGACAGTATAGCACTCTGCCAGCTTTGGCAACTCTTTGTAGGTACTAGTTGCTGCTATAAAGTAGTCCGACTTAACGCTCCATGAGCGCTAACAGGACGGAAAATTTTGACGCTCGGCACATATCCTGTTAATGTTAACAAATATATATCGTCGACATGGCATATCAAAGAAAGAAACCAACTCAAAATTTAATGCTTGCTACTTTCAGATTTTGTGATATTGTAACTACGGACGATATCAAGTTTTCTAACCCAGCGGTTGTCGTTTGTTATTTGATCATCAATGSAKAMRCGCACGTTTTTCATTTTCATATTTTTCCATGATTTCAGTCTCTTTTTTATTTATTCATTMTTTTTTTGTTGTTTTTGTTTTTGATTTTGTTAAATCAGTTTAAATATTTTTGAATTCCTTTAATATATGCATTTCCGCCTTCATTTCTAATCCTCCAGTATTTTTTATTTGAATTTCTATAATTTTCCTTTTTAATTTCTTCATTTCAGTAATTAATTGACAGTAATAAYATCATTTCGTAAATGACTGTTGACTAAATCAGGTTGTAGTTATACCTGTYATACTATTGTTCGCATCGATTATTTCAAAATGTTCAGTCCATCTTTCCTGTTTTTGATTCTCATAGAATCCA